ATTCATAATTGAAGCTGTTAACATACAAATTGGGCTCCGCAAAGTTATGGGAAATTTAACCAAGACTTTCGAGCTATTTGCCCATTTGTTGATCCCTGAATCAATCCATATCACACACTACGGGAAATTTAACCAAGACTTTCGAGCTATTTGCCCATTTGTTGATCGCTGAATCAATCCATATCACACACTACGGGAAATTCTTCTCTATATGTACAAGTTCTCGAATGATAGTCTTGTACACGATATTAAATTGAATTGATATTTTACATAATACTAAAGAAGTAGAAGAAAGATTAAAAAGGCGGAGCAACTTGGGGACGTCCCCGGCTGGGAAATTAACTAGTTTGGTGGGGACAAAACCATGACTAATTAGGATATGTCGTGTTACTAAATTACAAGTGGATAATGATGGATTAGGTCAATGGTTTTCTACGCCTCAATAATTACTAATTGTGCTAACTCGCCCGATTGTGTGACTTTTTTTATTTTCCATTTGAATAAAAGCAAAACTTGATGAGATTTTATTACTTAGGCATGCCATCGTATACGTAGTTTGATTTGGTTTGTGTTTCATTAATATTTTAGTTTTCGTAGGTGATAATTTAATAAATATTGTCTTCATAATTTTTATTTAGCAATAGAATTTTCATCGTAATAAAAAGTTAAATATTAGTTTTATAAAATTTTGTTGCTAATTAAAAATTAAATTAAATATGAAGCAACTTTTCAAATAATACTATAAAAAATATATATTTTTTAATAAAATTAATTTACCGACAAAATTTTCATCAATGAATAAAGTCACGAACTTTTGTTTGATGACTGATTTTGGACTTGGCTCTCGGTCTGCACTTCGATTTGTAATCAAACAATTAATGAATTATTATTATTATTATTATTATTATTATTATTAAGTTAGGTCATTGGTCATTGAAATTTAAGATGCAGAGTTTTAGTCATTGAACTTAAGTCAATGTCTTCGATTGCTCACAAAAAATTTAAAATGTCGAATCTTGGCTACTGAACTGTGGAAAATGTTGTACATTACTCACTAGCATAAATGTTGAATTTTTAAAAATTTCGAATTTATAGTAAGTAATATACAACATTTTTAAAAATTCAGTAGTCAAAACTCGACATTTTAAATTTTAGTGAGCAATAAAAAACATGGGCCCAAGTTTAGTGACCAAAACTCGACATTTTAAATTTCAGTGACCAATCAAAAACATAGACCAAGTTCAGTGACCATTGGAACAATTAACTCATTTTTCTCCATGTACTTGTACTTGAGGTATATACATTGACTTGATAGTCATTACGACAATCTACAACATTTTTATGCGCCAACACGACCACCTTGTAATCTCTAGTTTTCGAGTCAAACCCAAAACTTGCTTGAATATTCTCAATGTCATGTTTCCCTAGTAAAGAAAATGGACTTCGGTATATTTTTTTATTTCTCTAGTTGCTTGATCCCACAGGTAAAAATTGACAATTTTCCAAGTATTGTTAAGTATAATAGAATCAATTTCATCATTTATTGAATCTTTCTAAAATATGTAATCTCTAAAAAACATAGCTTCTTTATAAGTTTTAGGATCAATTTCAACTTAAAAAACAAAATGAATTTTTTTTTATAACATTCTTCCTATCTCCCTCGACTAAACAGAGAGGAATAAGTTGGGAATCTATTTTCAATCCTAGATCTTTTTCTTTTCTAACTCTCTTGCTTTTTCGAAGTTCACCCGATAGTTCCATCTCTCATAGATGTTTCCAGTTGTGATTCTTTAATAGCAAAAATGTCTATAAGAGTTTCATTTTGAGAGTTTCTTGTTTTCAATGCATTCTCGAAGAACTCCACGTCCGTTGAATCTATTATAATACTGAAGTTTAAGTTTAATAATATAGGCCTTGCTATTTGAA